TATATATACAGCCAGTGTACATGGTTTTGTTCATCCAAATCTCTCTCTCGAGATCTCTCTCTCTCGAGCTCTCTCTCCCGGCCTCTCTCTGCAAAAAGCGCCGTGAACTGCATTGGCGAACTCCTCTGAGGAGTTTAGGAATTAAATATAGATAAGCAATGGCTCCAGGTACTCTTGGGCAGTGGTGCAGGGCTCGTCAATGGATGCATCGAGGACTGGCCGGTTGTGCATGCATGCACGTAGGATTGTTTAGTGCCGTCGACCCAGATGTGAACCCATGCAATGCTTTGATGCTTGTTGGTACGAGATCTCAAGCTGTTACAGCAGCTAGCATTGTTATAAGATCAGTTGTGCCCATCGATGATCAAGTATCCCGGACATCACTTTGAGCTGCCCCCATGAAACTTCAGGGTTTGAGCCTCAACCCAATAAATTATGTAGCCCTGTAACCCTTATATATGTGGCCCCAAATATTAAATATACACAAGCCTATAAGTCTTTAATGTCGTAGATTGTGTAAACCCACTGTGCCGGAGCTCGGTTCTGTCGCTGGGCCCCAAGATAATATGTGTTATATGTATACTTACAACAATTGCTATATAAGTTTAATGTATATACATATTTATACACCTTCGGACCTTTGGGTACCTTGACCTTAGAAGCATTAGGCTAGGCGCTTTAACCGCTAGGCGACTTTAGATCAAACCGCGGCTCTGCTGGGCCACAATACATAATAGGATTTAGGCTCTAGGCTTTTCCTCTCGAGATGGCTTCGGATGATGAGCTGTGGTGGGAGGAGCTGGAGAAGGCGGCAGAGCCGCCGTCGCCTGGCAGCGAGGAGGTGGAGGAGTTTTTTAGGCGGATGGATAGCTGGAGGCGGTGGAGGGATCAGAGGTGGCAGATGAGGTGCTTGAGCCTCTCGAGTTCGCCGGCTCGGCTGGGATGGGCCACCGATGCCAGTGCCTCGGGAGGCTCTAGCACCAGCTCTTCATCGGAGGAGGTGGCATCGGAGTTGGAGGAAAAAGAGGAAGAGAAGAAGAAGATGGAGGAGGTGGTATTGGAGGAGGAAGGATGCCAAAAAGAAGAAGAGATGGAGGAGGTGGTATTGGAGGAGGAAGGAGAAAAAGAAGAAGAGATGGAGGTGGTGGTATTGGAGGAGGAAGGAGAAAAAGAAGAGGAGATGGTGGTATTGGAGGAGGAAGGGAAGGAAAAAGAAGAGGAGATGAAGGAGGAGGAGGAGGAGGAGGAGGAGGAGGAGGAGGAGGGCAGTGTCCGAGGCTCGAGGCCCAAAGCCAGGCCTCGAGCCCCGGATGAGGACGTGGACCTCGATGAGCAGCAGGGCTGGACCGATGAGGATTGGGAGATTTGGGAGATGGTGGTGAGGGCAGGAGGAAAAAATAAAGGAAGGAAGAGGAGAGAAGAGATGTTCAAGAGGTTCAAGTATTTAAGAAAAACCGGCCAGTGGGTCGGTGCTGAGCCCCATCCGCTGGGCCGGGATGCTCGCTTTGAAGCGAGGCCAAAGCATGCACCGAGCAGCTCCAGTCGTGGAGGGTAGGGGTCCATGTATATACAGCACTTCATAGGAATAAGCTTCGGGCCTTAGGGTTATTCAGAATAGAAAGATGTATGTATATAATATATACCTACATACACATTAAATTCAGCCCTCAGGCTCTTAGGCCTAGGCCCGGTGCCATGTACACATCCAGGGATACACTTATCCTATATAGGCTTAGACCACCCGCGGGCCCGCCTCCTTGGACAGCTGCTGGCCTAGTGTAATTATATACATGAACATCTACATATGTATATACACACATGTATACAGCTGGAAGCATGCATTGGCCGGTACCATAGTCGCCGCTTGCCTCTTTGCGACAAAATGGTTATCGAATGCTGGGGTGTGGGGTTCGGGGCTTCGGGGTTTAGGGTTTGGGTTTAGGGGTTTAGGGTTCGGGCACTTCGTTCGGGGCTCGGGGCTTTTGTGGTGGCAATCAAGTCGCACGAAATTGGTTTTCCCGAACAAACCCAACATGCAAGCATTATGTTGCAAGAGCTGGTTTTCCCTAAAAAATCCCTACTTGCAACCAATAGGAAAGAACAGCCACGAACAACGGCCCAAACTGCCGATCCCAAAACATTCCAACCCGGCCCTTAAACCCCGAACCCCAATACCCGGCAACCGGTGCCCTGAACCCGAAAAGCCTCCTCCCTCAGCCCCGAAACCGCAAACAACTATAATTTAACACCCCAGCCTTCAAACCCTCCTGGGTATAGCAACACTTGCTTGCAGGACTTAGATGCTTCTGGTCTGGTTGGGCCGGGCCCTGAAGCCGCTCATTCATCACTTGTGTAGGGCAGCCAGACAGTGCATGTGGGAACAGCATAGGCACTTGTGCTGATGGATGTAGCGAGTTTGTTGTGCATGTTCGTGTGCATTCCGGACCCTATACCGAACGGCCCTCCTCTGAGGAGGGACTGCTTCGTAGCAATTGCCTCCCCTGGGGAGGTATTAGCAACCTAGGATTCCGAACCCAGCCCAACAGCAACCCAACAAAGGCTGTTAAAAAAAACTTTTTTTAACATTTTGTTTAATGCCCCTTCTCCTTTTAATTTAAAGCAAAACAGCCGTTAAAGAAATGTTAAAAAAAGTTTTTTTTAACACCCTGCCCGGCCGAAGCTTCCCGACTGAAGCCCCGATGCACTCCTAAGGTCGTTGCTTCGCCTTCTGCTCTAGGCCCGCTGGAGGTTGACTCGGAATCCTTTGAGGATTCTGTGTGTGCAGTATTGTGCAGTGCTGTGCTGCATCCCGTCGGGTTGCATTATGTCACACCCATGCATGTCCTAGGGATGTCTTGTGCTAGGTCGAAGTAGATGGTGCATCCCCTGGGGATGCACCACATCATAGCTGCACTCCATTGCATGCATGCATACCTAGCTATTTTGGCTGCCTTCGGCAATTTTTGTGTAGACCCGGAGCATCCATCATGGGCAAAAAACCCGATCCGAAGGCTAAGGTCACAGCGGCCAAAAGCAAGCCGGTGAACAAGTTCTCGGCCAAGGTCGCGGCCAAGAACAAAGCCCAGGCGAGCCCAAAGGCGAAGGCAACAGCCGACCCAGATCGGCAACAGCTCAGTGGCTTCGTCACCGCAATGAAATATAAAATCAGCCAAGGGCAAAACCGCGACCAAGCCACCACGGCTCAGAAACTCTTGGAGGTACGGGGTCCATAAAATAAGGGTGTAAAGCTAGCTGGTTGCAAGCCCTTCTTGATTTACATTTGTATGCTGCCCTGTGTTGCAGATGTACAGCACCATGGACAGCGACGGGAAGCGCCAAATGGCCCGGCAGTACTCCGAACACGGTCCGAAGGACCTCTCTTGGGCCGCGACCTATCTCGAGAGCGACAAGCACGACAGTGTCACAGAGAGGTGCACAACGAAAGGCATGCGGACCCGCAAACAGATCCTCGAGCTCGAAGGCATCGATACCGATGGTATGGATGAGGCTGCCAAGCAGGAGTGCCTCAAAGAGCTCTTGGATGCCCTATGGGCATGGCTTAAGACCGATCCCACAAAGGATCCCGACCTTGTCCAGGACCACAAGATCCCGGCCATGAAGAAGTACTATTACGAGTACCTTGATCCGCTGAAGGAGAAAGAGGTGGACACAAAGTCGCAGTCGATGACTGTGAAGGCTGAGGGTTTCAAGATGGAAGCGGCCAAGAAGATGATCACGAGCAAGCCTTCCGATCCGAACATCAAGCTCGAGAACCCCTGGCACGTGGAGCTCATGGCCAAGGTCAAGCCAGTTTGGACGGCGAAAGCAAAGCTCGACAGAGAGGAAACCGCCCTGAAGGATACCCTCTGTGAGTTCGCTGTGGCAGTCAACGGGAAGCCGGGCTTCGAAAAACTCGTAGACGACTATGAGGCCAAGATGGGTGTGCTGCACAATTACTTGTTGCAGCTTCGGAAAGCATATGCTGCAGTGTCCAAGGTTACACCAAGTGATCAAGACGAGTGCACCAAAGCCTTAGTCGAATGGACCACGTTCGGTGAGCAGATGTTGATTCACCAGGAGGGGGTCAAGCAGATGAATCGCGGTATGAAAGCTTTCCTCTAAGTGTTTACATGTTGACCGAAGGTCGTCAGCCATGTAGATCGATCATGCACATGTTTGCATACCTGTCGTGCACAATTGCTTGCAGTGAGTTTTGAATAAAACATGTAGTGCTGTCATTGCATGCAAGTCTGCCACGGCAAGCTCTGATCGCAGAGGGGTTTTGTTTCTTCGCCCGAGACAGGCGCCATGAAAGAAATCGATTGTGGCATGGATGCTTTATGTGCACTAGTATACAAATTACCCCAACCATCCTCCGCTATATCGCTGGAGGTATACTTCCTGCCGACCAACAATGCCCAAAGGAGCACTGACTGCATGCACATGAACACGATGTCCTAAGTCCTAAGTGTTACTGTGGTTTGGGGTTTCGGGTTTTTTGTGATTTACATTTACTGTTGAGGTTTGAGGCTTCAGGGTTTTGTGGGGTTTAGGGGCTTTTGTGGTTTATATAATATATATATATATATATATATATACATATACATACGGTGGAAGCATCTGGTTTTTATATCTGGGCCAATAAAGCTGACTATGTTGCAACTTCGAGCTCGCTTGCAGGACCCATGGCCGGATCCGATGACAGGTACTTTCAGCTCCGAAAAATCGGGCCGCTGTTGTAAGAGATGCAGCAGCCGCCACTTCGCATGCATGTGCATGCATTTCATCCATGCACATGCAACTCCCGTGGGGATGTTTGCTCGAGCTTTTGATTGAGGTGTATCGGTATCCTAGCTTGACATTAACTTAGACTTATATACACTAAGCACCACCGGGATCAAACTTTGAAGTTAAGGCAATGGCTACATGTTGTATGGCGAACAATCGAATAATCTATAAGGTCTTTTATTGTAGGATCTATAGGTGGATGGACAGCTCGCATGCTGTCGAAGAATTCGGTGCATGGTTCCAGCACGGACGATGGGCGACGGCTCAGGGATAATGTCGCCGATTTGTTATTGACAGGGGCAGTGAGTGCCAAAAGAGCACGTTCCTTGTATTCGGACAGTTTAACTCACGACCCTAGAGAAACTGTTGAGCTAGCTAAAGTAGCAGACAGCAGTCACGCTCATCGCGATCTCTTGCGAAAACTCAAGAAGGACAAGAAGTGGCCGGGTATGTTCCAGGCGACTGTGCCACTTCTCAATAGGGCAACTCAGGAGGCGGAAATGGGCAAGATCGAAGTTATGTTGCCGCACGAGCTAGTGAATGCCATCAGCATATGGAACAGTCACGACGATCACTTCTGGAAACTAGACAACTTAAGGGCAGCTTGCAAGCAGCACTTGGCGAATGCATCCAAAGAGTTGGGATTTGGTGAAAACGATCGCATTATTCCCATTGGCATATGGCACGATGGCATACCGGTGAAGTACGACAGGTCAGAATCACTCGAGGTCGTGACGATGAATTTTCCTCATGTCGGGGGGGCTTGGGCTTCTATGCGAATTCCTTTAACAGCACTTTACAAAGGGCACATGGTGAAGAATTCCAGTCTTGACGGGATTATGCGAGTGCTTACATGGTCGCTCACGTGCCTTGCCGAAGGTGTCTACCCTAGCCACGGTCCAGATGGAGAAGAACTGACTGGTAAGAGAGCCAAGCTCGCAGGGAAGACCTTGCAAAAAGCTTTGCTAGTCGAAGTTCGCGGGGATTGGTCTGCCTTTAAGTCAGCTTTTCGCCTCCCTGGGTGGGCGGAGCGAGTGAGCTGCTGCTACCGGTGCTCTGCCAACAAAGAGAATTTCATGGATACCAGCAGCTCTGCCCCGTGGCGACAATCACCACTAACACACTGGCAACTTGTCGCTAACATATATGCAACAGAAGGATCATGCCCACCTTTGTTCGGAGCTCCATGCTTCCGAACAGACATTTTTGCCATAGACTGGCTTCATTGTTGTGATCAGGGCGTGGCTGCTGATTACTTGGGATGCCTCATGCATACGATCCTTAAGGAGATACCGGGAAACGAGAAGCAGAAGCTGGCTGAACTGTTCAGGCATGTGCAAGATTTTTACAAAAGAAATGGTACCGAGTCCAGGCTTGACCACCTCACTGCTGGAATGGTCAAAAAGAATAGTGCCGCCAGCCCAAAGTTGAGGTGCAAGGCCGGTGAAGCCCGGGGGCTCATCCCTTGGATTTCTGATGCTTGTGCAAAGTTCCTCACTCAGGGGACTGCTGAGCATCGAGCTGCAATTGATGCAGGCCGTTATCTCCAAGAGTGCTACTCCTGTCTCAGTGTTGCTCAGTTTGATAGGGACAAGCTGGCTGGTGCATGCCGAAGGTTTTTGCTACTGTATGCTAGCTTGGCTACCATTTATCCAGATCAATCGGTGTGGCGTTTCAAGCCTAAGATGCACTTATTTTTGCATCTTTGTGAAGAGAGCTTAGACTCTCCGAGCCTCCATTGGGTTTATAGAGACGAAGATTTTGGAGGAAGCCTGGCCCATATAGGGTCTCGGCGAGGAGGGAAAAACACCGCCAGCGCCGTGTCTCACCTTGTGCTACAGATGTTCTATGCCAAGAATCCAATCCCTCTCGTGGGGCAGTGAAAGATCGAGAAATCTGTGCTGGGGATCGAGGCTTGCAAGTTTTTGCAGGTAGAGGATATTGTGTTACGGGTTGGTTAGATAGATTTTCATGGTGCATGCATTTACTGTTTCCATTTTGTGCATGTGTGCGGGAAGGTGAGTGGGTGGGTGGTTGGTTCGTTGGTTGGTTGGTGGGAGGGTGGCTGGGAGAGCCAGCTGGGTGTTGTGGTGGTGTTGGTGGTGTTGTGGTGGTGTTGGTGGTGTTGGTGGTGTTGTGGTGGTGTGGGTGGTGTCGGTGGTGTTGTGGTGGTGTTGTGTTGGTGTTGTGTTGGTGTTGTGGTGGTGTGTTGTGGTGGTGTGTGGTGGTGTGTGGTGGTGGTGTGTTGTGGTGGTGTGTGGTGGTGTGTGGTGGTGGTGGTGGTGTGTGGTGGTGGTGTGTGTGTGTGTGGTGGTGGTGGTGTGTTGTGGTGGTGTCGTGGTGTTGTGGTGGTGTGTTGTGGTGGTGTCGGTGGTGTTGTTGTGGTGTTGTTGTGGTGTTGTTGTGGTGGTGTTGTGGTGGTGTTGTGGTGGTGTATATGTGTACATGGTGCATGTATATGACCGGTGTCATTGCGACACCATAATTTAAACAATGTTTTTTGCGCCTTAATTAAGCAAGGTGTGTCTTGCTTAAATTTTCAAACCTTTCTTAAATACACATTGCTTAAATAAGCGCCAAACTTAATTAAGCAACATTGGGCTCTCTGGGTGGCAGCAAGTGCCATTTCGAGCACGTTTGCTCGCTATGCTTCGGAAAGCACCCGGCTACGCAGTGCCCCACCAAGAAGCAGACGGAGGCCGCTAAGGAGGACAAACCCTCCAACTCACCCGCTACCGCAGCGGAGCCCTCAGTGCCTGTGAACCCCCCGCGGGGGGATGCTACGCCAGCTCCTGCAGCCGCTACGCCTGCAAAGCCGCTAAGGGTGCTCTATCTTTTCTCTGGGGCCTCACGCCGGCTAGACGTGGCACAGTGTTTGCATCAGCTAGCGGCAGAACTCGGGCTAGATGTTCGGGTCGAGTGCGACGGCCGCATTAGCAGCGGCAAGCTGTTCTAGCTGCGCCTTGGCCGTGGCGGCTTCGGTAGCGGCGAACCTTTGTCAGCGGCGTCCAGGCTAGCGATGTCGTCCTGCGACAGGTCTGCCCAGCTGGTAGCCGACAGAACCCGCCGTTCCAACATGTTAGCGGGGCTCTGCTGACGGAGCCCGGCACCTAGCGGGGCCGTGCGCCGGCCCTTTGCCCTTGGGCTGTGTAGCTGGGCCATCGTTGCCCTTTCCTCCTGCGCCCAAGGCACTAATCGGGTGAAACCGCTAGGAATTTCTAGCTACCTTCCGGTAACGAAGCCGTGGGCTAGCGGAGGGAGGAGGTTCAGCACAATCACTGGCTCCTGCGCCTAGCTCCTGAGTGCCCTGTTGCCTAGCGTGGGCTCCGCCACCTCGTTTCGTAGCGCCTGCCTCCGCTCCAAGCTCTCCTTTCCTAGCTCCTGTGTTCCCTGGGTGGCCAGCAAAGGGGTCGCCCGGCCCCGGTTTCCTAGCGCCTGCCTCCGCTCCTTGCTCCTCTTGCAGGACACTAGCGGCACACACAAAAGCGCAACACAACAGAAACACACAACAAGTGACATGTAGCAAGAACGTGGTTCTCTCCACTCGCCCTTCTTTCTGGGCCCCCCCCCCCGGGCTTCCCCCCCCCCAGCACACCATCTAGTCTAGCGGCGTTACGCGAAGGAGGAGGGAGAGAGAGAGGAGGAAGGAGAGAGGGTACCGACCTTTTCTAGCCCCAAACGGCGGTTTAGCACGCCCTGCGCTCAAGGATGATTGCTAGCGGACCCTGTCGAAGGTTCCCCTGGGGCCTCATCATCTTCCGAGTTAGCAAGCGAACCTTCGCTAGCGTCTCCTTCGGAGATAGCCCCTTGGTTCGGCCAGCATAGCTTGCACACGTGTGTGTACTCATGCGGCCCCAGAACCGAATCAAGAACCCTAGCGTTGCGGAAAGCACGGCGCTTTCCCATCCAACATCCTGTAGCGCCCGCTTTGTGCAGGGGAAAAATGGAGCTGGGAGGTCTACGATTATATAGCTGCCCTGGCTGCGGTCAGGAACCCTGGCCTGCTTCTTAGCAGGCCGTTCCATGACCTCCGCAGAAGCCTCGGAGCTGCTCCCTGCCCCTATAGCGGTTCCTCGAACTCGTCCGGTTCCTCGGGAACCTCTAGCTCCTCCGCCTCGGTCGGGACTCCTAGCAGGCCTTCCATCCAGATCTTCCGCAGCCGCGACGCCATATCAATAGCCTGGCTGTGGGTTAGCTTGGCCCTTTCTTCCAGCCAGGGCTCCAGATCCGCGGCGATTTCGCGCTCGTCTAGCGCCTCGTAGCGGTCGTCCCCCCTAGCTGTTTTAGCGAAAAAAGCTTGGAGCCGGGACACTCTACCCGCAAAGGATCTAGCGTACACATCGGAAATCTCGGGTTTCCAACGTCCTAGCAGATCCTTATCCTGCGGCGGGATCTCCTTTAGCGCCAACCCCGTGGGTAGCACGGAGCGCTCACTGTGCTCCGTCCAATAGCCCTGGAAATTCCGGGGGTAGCCCATGATAGCCAGCAGCCCAGCAGTTGCCACCATAGCGTCCGCATAAGTAGCGATCTTCCTTTCCAGCTGCCCTGCCCGGCCCAGTCGCGGCATGAGGTAGTCCCGGGCGTAGTTAGCGTGGGCCTTCAGGAGATCAATGCCGGTCACCAACCAGTTCTTAGCGACCAGGAAGGCGTGCTCCGACACCACGACCGGTAGCTCCTTGACCCTTCTCGTAGCGCCGGAAGTCTTTGTCGGAGGATGGTGGTGAGGCGACCCTCCACCATCGTTAGCTCCGCTGGCAAAATAGCCTGAAGATCCGACCACCTTAGCGTGGCCCAGACCTTGACCAGCTTAGCCCAGGCCCAGACTCGCCAGCCCACGGCCAGAGCGGCATTGACCACCACCAGCTATAGCTGTACCAGCATGTAGACACCTTGAAACTCCGAGAAGCTCCAATTCGGGAAGCTCCAAATCGAAGCTCCGATTTGGAGCTGGCAGCTCCGATTTGGAGCTTCCGACTTTGAGGTGTTAAACGGCGGAGAGCAGCTCCAATTCGGAGCTTCCGGCAGCTCCGAATCGGAGCTTCTAGAAGCTCCGATTTGGAGCTGCCGGCAGCTCCAAATCGGAGCTTCTAGAAGCTCCGATTTGGAGCTGCCGGAAGCTCCGAATCGGAGCTTCCAGAAGCTCAGTTCGACTGGGAAAACCCTTTAAAACACCTTTGAAAACTACCTGCAAACCCACAAGCAAATGAAGTGCCAAAGCTTTTGCAGCCCTGCAAGCACTAAAGCTCGGCCGAATCTTTTTCTCGGAGCGGCAGCAAGGCAGGTGCTGCAGACTTGTGCTGCCAAGCTCAAGTCTTCCTACAGGGAGCCTTCTGCAGGCTAGCTCTATCGCAAACCTCTTCGAGCAGCAGCAGCAGCTGTTTTGCTTCAAGGCCTGGCAACGGCAGGAAATGGCGCAATCTGCTGCCATTTCTCCAAAGCTCGAGCACAGTTTTCGCCGGGATTGTTTGCACCACCTCTGCGATGGAAGAGCTGTGCTAAGTGCCCTCCCAGGGTTTCATCTGCATAACACCAAAAATCCTTGGCATTGAAACCGCTTTCACAGATGTGTTGGAATTGATGCAGCTTGGGCATGATATGCCAGTTCAAAGAGTCCTCTGCTTCGAGTGCTTCCTTCTCCAAAGCCATATACTGGCTAGCCACTTTGGCAGAGGCCTTGTCCAAGCCAGAGTGCTCATTCGTTTCCACTTTGTTGTAGACTCTGGCCAAAAATTTGGCCAGCTTGTGGCAAGCCACTTCGTGATCGCTGCCTGCGGCAAAATGCTTGCCTGTCAAAATCGGAAGCAAAGGCACCATGTGCCTCACCGTGGCTGCTGGGCATTTGAGGGTCGGCGGACCCGTGCTTTTTTCCCTTTGTTTAGCACTTCAGGTGTCAACTTTTGCAGCCTGTCCGTCACCATGTGTTCTTTGTAAAGCTCTTGCACATCTAGCCACAGGCCCGAAACCCTATCCTTGAGACTTCTGCCTTCATATTTCGCAGCCAGCTCGAGCAAGAGCTGCCCAGCAATATCGGCCGAAATACCCATGTCGACGGCATGAAGCCAATCAGGCAAAATCAACGTTCGAGGGGCCAATTCTGGCCAGTGCCACAGTGGGCACACCGGCTTGCCCATGTTGCGAACTCTGGTCAAGAATTCGGCCTTGGTCAGGCCTGAATTTCTTTCATTCGCTGTGCAGTTTCTGAAAGTTTCAAAGGTGGTCTTGCACAGCCAGCACATACCACTTTTGGTGTTGTATGTCGGAATGTTGTACCAACTGTTCAGCCAGTCCCAATCGCCCCTGAGCTCCACGAGAATGCCTTTTGCAGGCAAGTCCCTCCCAACATATGTTCGCCTTTGCCTGTCGGATTTGAGCCACGGGCTTCCATCATGTCTGCAGCTGGGGAATTTCCCTTCCTTCAAGCATTGCATGCTCCAGAGAAGCACTTTGAGTATGCTGTCTTTGGTTTCATACTCCCAGTGAAAATCGGTCTGCAGCAACGTGAAGGGAACAGGGGATCTGTGCTTGGCATCTTGAGCTGCGGGAAGATTGATCGTCAGGAAATCAAGCCCTTCCTTTCTCATAGTGCCTTGCACAGGCACACCATCGCCGTGGAGGGCAAAAGGAATCACTAGTTCCTCGCCCCATCCCAACTTCTGCTTGATTTCCTTCGCAGCGACCCAAGTTTTGGAGCCTTGTGCAGGCTGGCACCTTGCCAAGGCAGCAGGATCAGCAAAAAAAACTGCCATCCATTCATGCGGCAATTCAAATGCATGCCACATGAGTGCTTTCTTATTATTCTTCTTGCTTTTCATTGGGATCCGGCACCAGTAAAGCTCAGGCCAAACTGTCTTCTTGAAAGCTCTCCTGAGAGTTCTCGCTGCGTTTTTTTTCCCTTTCTTGCCTTTGAGCTTGCAGCCCTGTGCTCCTGCTGAGGTGGCTTTTTCGAGATTTCGCTTTGCCAAAGTTCCTGGCAAGATATTCCTGCCATAAAGTCCCATCGCATAGTCAGGAAACTCCTCAGAGGTATCCGAAGCCTCATCCCTCAATCGTTTCTTGGTGGCCCCTGCAATTGCCTTCTGCAGGCAAGCTTGCCAGCATGCCAAAAACAAAAGCAAGGACAACGGAGCCATATGTGCTGTGAACCGAAAAAGCTGCTGAACAAATCACAAGTAGTAGTAGAGGCAACCCTCGGCGGCACCTTGCAAATCGAACGAGTTTTCCACACCGCCAAAAGCGACTCGTCCAGAGTCAAAGCTAAATGCCCCAGAGTTGGGGCTTTGCGAAAAGCTGCAGGCGGCCTTGTGCAGGCCAGGGGCTGCGACCCCAGTGAGTTTCGCCGCTGAAGCGCTTTGACTTTCAGGCATTCTCTTCATCCCACTTCTTGTGCGATGAGAGCTCCCTTTTCAGAGGCTTCAACTTCTCAGAGATGCTTGCCACGACTGCCGCCAGCTTGCTGGCCAACTCTTCGTGATCCTTTTCGGGCTGCTTGGGGAACATGTGCTGGCTGTCCATCACTTCCTTTTTGCAGGAATAGAGCTTCGACTCCAACTCTGCCACCTGTGCCAGCACCACGGTTGCCATCTTGTGCTTCTTGTGGTCAAGCGAGACCTTGAGCAGCTCCACAGTTGCCAGTTCCGTGCTCACTTGGGTGAGCTGGCCAGTGAGCTTCTTTCGCTGGTCCTTGTAGTTCTGCTCATGGTCGATGCGAACCTCGGCTTCCTTGTCCTTGCCTTCTCCAGGCAACCTACCGGACTGGCCTTTGCTAATCATCTTCTGGGTGGCCGCACCCTTGAGCTTCTTGCGGATTTCCTCAAAATCCTCCTGGCCCACGTCCCCAACGTTCTCCTCCAGCTGAAGCTCTCTTTTCTTGGAGCTGCTGCTGAAAGTCTTGCAGTGCTCGAAGTAGTACTGCTTGATTCCCAACTTGGCTAAGTTCTCATCCTCATGCTCTCTCTCGAGCAAGTCCTGAACACGAGCCTTCTTCAGGCTAGAGTAGTCACTCGAGTGAGGGAAAATCCCCTTGAAGCCGGCGATCTCGTCGTCTGTGAACCAGCCCTTCTGGGTGTCGTCTCTGTCCTCCTCTGCTTGCACGTCTATCTTCGCGACCCTCCTCTCAGAGATTTCGGGATCCAGCAGATACACCTCGTAAAAAAACTGTCTCTTCTCTGCCTGGGTTTTGCACTTAGCAAAAGTGTCAGGCAGGGCCGTCTTGCCGGCCTTGGCCAAAGCCTTCAGTTTCTGGTTCATCTTCTTCGCTTCGGACTGCCCGATTTTCGGGTGAGCCTTGGCGGCAGCCGTGGCAGCCCTTTTCGGGCTAGCCCCTTTCTTCGGGCTCACCAACTCCATCTTCACAGGGGGAGCCTTGGCTGGGCTTTTGGGCTCGGCCTTCACTAGTGTGCCTTCTGCAAGCGAGCCGCCGTTGCCGGCATTGCCTTGCTCAGGCTTCTTCCCGTTGCCTTGCTCAGGCAAGGCCTTCTCCTGGGCAGCAGGTTTTTTCATCTTGGAGCCACCGGCCATCGTCCTGATCTCTAAAACCGTGAGCTTGAGCCTAAGTGCTTCAACTGAAACCCTGGTTGAAATCCGCCGCCAGGCCCAAGCCCGAGGCCAGCCAAAAAGTTCCTAAAAAAGTTCCTTTAGGAACTTTCCGCCGGAAAGTTCCTATAGGAACTTTTTGTCTTTATTATTACAAACCTAATAAAACCTAAAAGTTCATATAAAAGTTCATGAAAAAAGTTCCTAAAAAAAGTTCCTATAGGAACTTTTCTGGTGATTTTTTTGGGGCCTGAGCCCATCCTGGGGGTCTGATTTTTTCGCGGCTGGGGGCTTCAGGTCTGGAGGGCTGCTGCTTCGTGGCTTCGGGGCTTTAGGAGCAAGGGTTTAGGGTTTTGGGGTTTTGGGGTTTTTGGGGTTTAGGGTTTAGGGGTTTAGGGTTGAAGGGTTGTAGGTTTTTATGCGGTGCTTTAAAGGGCTTCAGCGGGTTTAAGGTTTAGGGGTTTAAGGGCTTTAGGTTTGTACGTTTTGCTCTAAGGCTTGGGGCCCTGCAGCCTGGGGGTTTGTTTAGGGTTCAATATTGTTCCGGGTTTCGCCTTTAATATGGACCGCAAACCTATACACCTTGAAAGACACATCCTAGCAAACACGTGAACCGAAACCATCTGAAGTAACACCTTACAAGTTATAACCCTTAAACCCTCAAGCCCCGAACCCCGGCACGATGGATTTTTTCACAGCTGCGGACCGGTGCCGTCTGCACGTGTTCAAAGCTACTTGGCTATGCCTTTTGCAGGCAAGGCAGCCACTGCCACAAAACGACAGGCTTAATTAGCCCGTGTAGTCCGCCTCATGGACGACATTCCAGCCCGAGGTGTTCACAGACATCGCAGATTGCGACATATGCGACTGCATCTCCCACGATTCTTCTGTCGCGATACTCAACGTGTCGTGGCCAGAAATGTCTCCTGCAGGCAAGCTGCTTGCAGCACCTGTGCCTTCTGCAGGCAAGCTGCTTGCAGCACCTGTGCCTTCTGCAGGCAAGCTGACCGAAACGGGAGCAGCCCCATCATCAACAACGTCAGGCTTCTTTTCCTCATCAGAGGATTCGGCCTTCGTATCGCCTTCTTCAGGCGAGGCCAGCCTTGGGCCAGGATCGCTCTGTGTCTCCCTTGGATCGACCGTGTCCATGAGACTGCTGCTGTTGGACTCCTCGGCAGGGGCCTGCACTGCTGCCACTTGGCCTCGGGCCGTCGTCCGGCCGGCTGCTCTCGCTGGAGCTGCTGCTGGAGCTGCTGCTGCTGCTGTTGCTGATGCCCGGCCCTTCATCGAGAGGGGCCTCTTCACGGAGGCGAGCCAATCTGTCCCGCAGGCTGTTTGTGAGCCCTTCCATCTCCCGCAACACGACGGTGGCTCCGGATGGCATGGGACCTGCAGCACTTCCGCCTTCTTCAGGCGAGGGGTTCCCCCCACACCTATCTCCTTGCCGGCGGCGAAATTCGACCTCATGCCGAACTTGTTTTGCCCAGCGGGCAAATTGTGCCACCCTGCCGGGTTCGCCGGAAAACAACCAGGGCGGAAGCGGAATTCCTTCTCGTTCCAAAAAGCGCCGCAGGTTCCGCCTGACTTGGGATCTAAACCCTCTCGTGTCAAACCGGCTGCATCTTGGAAGCAGCTGGCCCAAGATCTCCAAGGCCTTCTGCAGGCCAGAGTCTTCCTCATGAGCATCTCCATCGTCGGGCTCCGTCTTTGCCTGCTTGAGGTCCGCCTGCCCGTCCGGACCCCTACTGCCTGAGCTGCCGCTGCCACTGCTGCAGCTGGTGCCTTGTGCAGGCAAGGGACAACTCCCACTGGGGCCTTGTGCAGGCCAGGGTGAAGTCCCACTGCCATCTGCTGGCGAGGGCCAGGGTCCCACATATTGGCCATGTTGCCACATGGCCTGATCCCAGCCATTGCTGAAGACCGGCTCAGGCAACCACCCGTGCGGGCCCGTCTGGAGCCAGGCACCGGTGGGAAGGTGCTGCCTCCACCACCTGCCGTGCCAGTCCTCCTCCGGCACACCCCAGATCTCGGCCAAAGGCCAGTCGACGACTGCGAGCACCGTCATCAAAAGGCACATCATGATGGCCTTCTGCAGGCCAGGGCCATTGCCCATGAGAGCCTTCTGCAGGCTAGCCAGCATGGCAAAACCCAGAAAGCTAAAGGGAGATCTAACAGTTGCTACCTGCAAAGCTTGAGCTCTCAAAATGCGGACGAACAAAGTATTCAACAGACAAACTCGACACACGCACTGCACTTCGACATGACCTGCTTCAAAATACAAAACATGAAAAGCTTTCCCAAACAAAAACCGTTAAAAAACCGTTCTAAAAATTTAGGGCTTTATATGATTTGGGGTTTTAGGGTTTAGGGTTTAAGGGCGACCTGCGATTTGCGATTTTTTTGCACCAGCCGAAGCGAGAGCCATGTGAAGTCGCGGGAACTGCCTTTGCAGGCAAGCATGCACAGTGCATTAATATCCAGTCCTGCCCCCCCCATCCTACTGCAGCAGAAGGTGCCAAGCACACAGCTAGCCTTGCACAGGCTCGGCCTGGGCTGCTGCCAAAAGGGCAACCCTGATCTTGTCCCGCTGGGCGATCACATCCTCCTTGGTCAAGCCAGCTTCCTCCTGGCACACCCACTCCATGAGCTGCCTCACGATAGCAGCATGGTCACCCAAGCCCTGACAGTTCACCAGCGACTTCTCTTTCGAGGCTTTGTCCTCTTTGAACACGATGTACGACTTGTTTCTGGCAAAGGTTGGCTTGACCAAGCCGAAGCTCTTAGACTCCTTCCAGGGGTTGGCCTTGTGCAGGCCAGCAGGCCTCTTGCAAGACTGGGCTTTCGCTTTGGCCTTTGCTTTGGCTTTGCCCTTCGCCTTAGCTTTGTTCTTTTTCTCAGTCTGCCCCAAGCTTTGCACAGGAGTGCTAGCGGCCGAACTTGACTCAACAACCTCTGCACTCGAGGGTACACTAGCAGCAACGGATCCGATCGAAGGCTCTTTCCTCAAGATCCTTCGTTTGGGCGGTGTCGCTTCTGCCACTGCAGTAGGTGCAACTGCAGCAACCTCGGGCTGCGAGTCCGTACCCGTAGTAGAGATCCTTCGCACAGGACGTGCAGACGCAGGCTCCTTCAAAGCCTGCAACAACTCTTTCAACCACGATGCCATCTGCTCGCCTGTCTTGGAATTTCGGTCTTTTCTGTTGCACATCGATTTCACTGCAGCGATCTTCTTCAAAACCGAATTTCGGCTGGCCTTGTCCAGGCCAGGGAAAGCTTCTTGCCATATCTTCCTTGTCACTTCAATGCTCGTTGGAGGCTGCCTAAACCAAAGGCAAAGGAATTTATGGTGCCTTTCGCCGACTTCCTCTGGGGTACCGTTCCACAAGCTTTCTTTCATGTCTTTGCCACCGAAGCTGCCCCGGAGCATGGCCGCAATACTCCTGATTTGATCCATTTCCATGCTCTTGCTGCCGCCTTGTGCAGGCGAGCTGGGCCCAGCAGCACTGCTGGCCATGCCTTCTGCAGGCGAGCCACCTGGCTTGCCTTGCCCTGCTTCACAGCCCTACCTAACAACATCGCTCCCTGCGATATTCTCGAGCCGAAAGTCGTCCTGCAGGCATATGCATCAGGAAGACTACCTGCAAATTTAACAAGCACAAAAAGAACCCAGAAGCTCGATTTGGAAGCTCCAAATCGGAGCTTCTAGAAGCTCCGATTTGGAGCTGCCGGCAGCTCCAAATCGGAGCTTCTAGAAGCTCCGATTTGGAGCTTCCGAGAAGCTCCGAATTGGAGCTGCTGACACTGTTCAAGCATCGAAACACGGAAGCTCCAAATCGGAGCTGGCAGCTCCAATTTGAACCCGGAAGCTCCAAATAGAAGCTCCAATTCGGAGCTGGCAGCTGCAAATCGGAGCTGGAAGCTCCAAATTGGAGCTGCTCGGCAGCGTCGTTTCGGCGCTGCCAGCTCCGATTTGGAGCGGCCGCTCCGAATCGGAGCAGGGTTGCGCGGGGCCCTTTTGATCAGAGGGGCCCCCTCCGCTAGCTGCTCCACGATGCTGTCCTTAGCAGCCCAAACCAGGCGACCGAAGGTAGTCCGTAGCTCGACTGGAAAGTCGGCCACCTTCTCGGCCACATGGTTCATCGCTCCTAGCGAGGAGGTAATCCACCAAGTCAGCGGCGGTGCCCGGGGGCGGCCTGAGCTTAGCGGCGTGGAGCCATTGGCGCCACTGCCGGTAGTAGCTCAGGTAGCGCTTCAAAGTAGAAGCCCGCGTCTTCCCCGGAAGCAACATAGCGGCCCGCACGGGGTCCAAGCTCCCATACAGTTTAGCGAGAATTTAACAGGGGCGTGTATCTCTAGCAGCTCCTTACGGAGCTTCCTTGCCCAAACTTCCAGCAGTCGCTCTTCCCTAGCGGCACCGATCGTGCCGGCTGTAGCACCTTCCGGTTCCGCTCCCGGGAGGAGGTCTTAGCGGCACCACGGGCTGGTGCGTAGCTTCCTCGAGGCTCCGTCTCTCGGAGCCGGTAGCGGTGGCATCCGGGCCCTCCAGGTAATGTCGTCCTGGAAGTAGCCGTGCACTCTTTGGTACGAGCTTCCTGTATAGCCAGCAGTAAACTCAATCCCATAGCCACGGCTGGTAAGGGATGCCCAGCTCTCGTGCTAGCTGCTTGGCGACGTCCTCCGCGTCTTCCAGGTCAACCACTGCTAGCTCCAAGACCCAAACCCTTGGCTGACGAGGTGTCGGTACGCCCGGTCTAGCGTGCGGCTACGTTCCTGTTGGACCGTAGCCTGCGCATCTAGCTCTGCCTCCACCTCCCAGCCCTCGAAGAGCACAGCCGCCTCTTCGGGCTGAGGGTCGCTAGCTGGGGTCTGCGGGACCCACGAGGGTACCTCCCGGAGGGAGCCCCCGCGGTATCGTCCCGTCGGAACCTCAGTTGGACACGGAGAACTTAGCGGGGGCGGGGAATCCCCAACCACAGTGACGCAGTCTCTGCCGTGGTCGGCGCCAGGGTAGCGTCGCTGTCCGACATGGCAGCGCACCCAAAGCAGGGCAAATTAGCCTTCCCAATAGCTGGGGGCCTTTCAGCACAATGGCCACGAAATAGCGCTCATTCCACCGGCCATGTGCAGACACTCTAGCTAACAGATAGACACCGTTCTGTTTAGCTTCAGAGGAAAACCCCTTCGACGTTTTCTAGCGAAACACCTTCGATGTTTCACACAGGGATACTAGCGCTAGCATACACTGTCGTACCTCGTACCTCGGCACGAGTGCATGACAAACGAATCAGGCGTCACCGAAGAAAGAGGCATTCGCAATGAAATTCATGGGCGAAGCGCAGAGGTCACGTGCATAAAGGCATAGCCGATTAAGTGTTGTCCTGCAACCATTGTCGAGTAGCCGCGGGATCCGATGGAGGATCACGCTCCCAGGGCCTGAGATTTTCCTCTGGGTACGGAGATCTGCCCTTCCCCTTGGCTTTCCCCTTACTTCTGCTCTTGGCCTCGATATAGTCACGGTAAGTATTGGAATTCCAACCTCCATGTCTTCCACCTCCTCGTGGGCGAGCTTTCGGGGCAGCAGTGGATGCGGAAGCACTCGAAGTTTCTTCTGCCGTGACAGGCGTGTCCATGATAGAGGTCTGTCCGCGCGGAAGATACTCGTCGGCTGAAATGTGATGTAATGCTTCAGGACGACGCGCATTTGGATGCTGTTGTCTTTCGAGCCTGCTGGCACGCAGTTTGTCCAAGAAATATGACGGCATCTGTACGTTGTGATCCACAAGCAACCCGATGGTCGCACGGAATGGTCCATGTGCATCAGGAGGATCCCAACTGGGTCGATGTACAGAAAGTCCACAGGTCCAGTCGGTGTAGGTCGAAGAACAGAAAATTGCGAGTGTCCTGTCACCATGGGAATAACTTCGCATAGGACGTTCAAGCAACAGAAGTGCATGACCTTCACGTCATTCTCATCCTTCAGGTAGGTGCTTGGGTTGAAGTTGTCCCTGCTAATTCCCATCATGTTTGCTCCTCGGATCAACAGCGAGATCAGCTGGTTCGTTCGGAAGCGCTTAAGAGTGTACGTCCCGTTGGGATCATACGACTTGGCATTCTCCCTTTCCTTGGCAAAGCGAATGATCTCTTCATCAGTCACCTCCCTGCTCACACCAGTTTCGGAGTCCAATTCTGCCAGTACACCCCATTTTCCAAGCACGTCATAGCGTTGGCCATTGGAGACACTTTCTTTGAGCTGGAATAATGGCATAGTCGCCCATTTCGCCAAGCCGGACCACGTCTTGTAGATGCATCTGCAGACCACAAACGCCATGTAGGAGAGAGCAGCCATTTTGGCATCGATGCAATGAGCATTTCGCTTGTTGTGGTAGTAAGGCGGTTGCATAGCGGTGCGGGCGATCTGCAGCTCAGGATCGATGTTCAAGGAATGACCAGCAATGAGGACGGGACGACGTTCAAGTGCCAGATCCTCGGGTACCTCGTCGTCAAAGTCCGCCATTGGATCTGTGTCCATTTCCTCGTCGGGCTCCTGTTCTGCATCTTCCTCTCCGATGATGGAAGCTTCGGGAATGCCTTCGGGTTCTGCCACCGTTTCAACCTCCATGGCTTCTTGCTCCTCAGCAGTTATCTCAGGTACCGCTGCAGCTGCAGCCTCCATTGTCTGGGCAATGAGTTCACTAGGGATCTCCGTAGGAGTCTCCCGTTGTGAGGTGCCTTGATGATAACCACACGAGATGAATTGTGACCAGCGCGAAGTACAGCGGGAGAAGCATGCTGGCACGATGTTGTAGCATGCCGGGCACACTCTCATCCTCCTGCCATCTTCCTCTCTTCGTAGATCTTCGGGTCGCCAGTTCTTGATGACGAACTTGATGGCTTTGTCCATGTAGTGGTGCCGAACGGTGTTCTCCCTGTGGGCTTCGAGCACAGTTGTAAGGTCACGCATTATCTGCTCCTTACTTGTGTCATGAGGACCTCGGGGCATGTCGCAAAGCAGCTCCATGATCTTGCCCGGAGTCCTGTACCTCTCGAATTCCGGGAGCAATGGGGATCCATTGAAATCCAGCACCATCTCTTTCTCCAATCGTTCGTCATAGATCTTTTCCACCAGCGCGAAAGAGTGTG